CTCACAATAATATCAACATTGGTCCCTCCCTTAACTTTCGGCCCATGCATGCATGCATGGACGTACTAGCTTCATAATTCTTATTGTTATCATCAATTATTTTTATTTATCCAATTAATTAACCGGTCGGCCGGCCTCCGATGGCTATATTTCCTACTTCATCGTAAATCGAAAAACAAAAAGGACAGGATGGCCGCCTCATGGAGATTTTCTTCATTTGTTATTGGCCTCCTGTCTCTGAGCTCCATCCTAATTAGCTACCACCCTTCTGCTGGCGGTGCCGCCAACATCCGTCTCGCCATCCGCAAGCGGCCCACCGCCAACATCTCACTCTTCCATGAGGCCCCGGCCTTTCGTAATGGAGCCACATGTGGTTCAATGGAGAGCAACGACAACCACCTCATCCACATCGTCATGACCCTAGATGCCAACTACATTCGAGGAACCATGGCCGCCGTGCTCTCCATCCTCCAGCATTCCTCCTGCCCCGAGAATGTCGCGTTCCACTTCCTGTGGCTGAGGCATGATCCTGAGGTATTCTCCAGCATCGCGTCCACGTTCCCATACCTCAACTTCAAGTTGTATCGTTTTGATGCGAGTACGGTCCGCGGATTGATCTCTAAGTCCATTCGCCAGGCGTTGGACCAGCCCTTGAACTATGCTCGGGCTTACCTAGCGCACATTCTTCCTCCACACGTCAAGCGTGTCATTTATCTCGACTCCGACCTTGTGGTCGTGGATGACATTATGAAGCTCTGGAAGGTGGACTTGGGCGGTAAAGTCCTGGCAGCGCCCGAGTACTGCCATGCGAACTTCACCTCCTATTTCACCGACGCGTTCTGGGCGGACCCGGAACTAACAAAGACGTTCTGGGGCCGTAACCCGTGTTACTTCAACACGGGCGTGATGGTGATGAATGTGGATAAGTGGAGGCAAGGAGGGTACACGAAGAAGGTAGAAGATTGGATGATGGTGCAGAAACAGAAGGTGAGGATCTACCATTTGGGATCTTTGCCCCCGTTCTTGCTAGTCTTGGCTGGGACCATAGCGCCGGTTGACCATAGGTGGAATCAGCACGGGTTGGGTGGGGATAATCTTGAAGGAAAATGCAGGAGCTTGCACCCTGGCCCCATTAGCCTGCTCCATTGGAGCGGAAAGGGCAAGCCATGGCTGAGGCTGGATTCAAGAAAACCTTGCATCGTTGATCAGTTATGGGCTCCTTATGATCTTTATCGCACTTCCAGGACCACTTTCGTCGAATGATCGATTATACAAAATATTTTTTTTCTGCATCTTGATTGGAGATCGACTTATATATATGATATATTAGGTCAGGGTCCAATGAAGAAACTAATTACGGTAAGATAGGTGTGTTGCGTTTTAGGAGAGAATTCAATCATCAATTTTTCTTGAGAAGAAATTAAATAAAATGTAAATACGTATACCAAATGTTTGTTATATATAGCTAGAGAATTAACTCGCCATCTAACAGTTTTTGTTTAAAGTACATGCCAATTCATCTTCCAATTAAGTACCTGGCCGGTGTTGTGCGATGAAGTGTCATCTTTTATCATTATTATTAAAGAGCAAAGCTCAGATAACCATATGGCGTGGCAGCGTTATCGACTATCCGCCTCTTATTCCCCGATCCACTTCAAATTTTCAATATTTTCAATATACGGTCTATGATGCATTCCTGATGTGGAGTTACTCGACTGCGATTCGACTAGGTGAATGCTATTTTTCCAAAGGATACCTAATACACCGAAGTTCATTAAAAATCATAATCTCTTGATTTCATACTCAGAGGTGTTCAATTTTGTCATACCTCACTATACTTAATTCTTTTTACAACCATACATACATATTCAATTTAGTATGTATTATTACACCGAAAACAAAAAGTATAACCTATAGAGTCATACAAACGATGCGTTTGAATCGATCTTTTTATTTTTGGGAAAGGATTTTTTTTTATTAGAGAAAGAAGTACAATGCAAGGAAAGTAGAATTATAAGATAAAAAAAGGAAGGAACAATACGAGAATAGAAAAAGATTCAAAAGGCAAAGAAGCTGCACTAGGGAACCCAATTAACACATTAGGGCAGCTTGGTCCTCACTTGGGTTTGATGCAAGTGGTCCTCCTATTTGAAATAGAAACATTTTTCTTTTGTTCAGCCAACCGATCCAATGATTCTTGTTTCAATGAAAATTTTCTTGAAGGAGTGTCGAAGTCATTGTTCAAGTTATCTAATTCCTTAGGGTATGAAGGGTCATCCCTCTTGATCATTTTTGAGGAAGAGTTATTCTGGGCTTGAATTTGAAGCGGCTCTAAATCCTCATCACCAAACCACAGTTATCTTCCTGTGCTCATAAGAGAGTCCTGTGTTTTTATTGTACTACGTACTTTTTTAAGAAACAAGATAATGGCATGGATATTGCTTCCAGAGTTATTTTAGACAATAATATGACTAAATTCCATATGGACAAAAAAGTGACTGAAAATCTATCCATTGGCGTGTGACCCTAATCGTCCTCATGCACTTACCAGACCTTGCGCCATTCCCAGACCAAGCCTTATTCTGGGAAGACGCAGGCGCAACTTCCCATCTCCCTCCTTCACGTTCGTACCGCCGAGAAGACGCAGATCGCCACCGCCTCTACTGCATTGACCTTCTCCGCCAACACTATCGCTTTTCTCGCCGTCTTCGCCGCCCCTTTCCCTCGCGCCTGTAACAGAGTGGGTGTAGATCGTTGCCACCACCCTCGCCCTAAACTTCGCCGTCGTTTTCGTCCTTGTCCTTGCGAGGTCTCCTCACTGTTGGATATCTAGTTTTGTTGATGACTAACCATGCAAGAACAGAGAAAGCACTATTCTATCACTAACTATGCAGGTGGATATAATGATAGAACTATGGTGAGTTCTAATTATGAACTCTGGACATAACAGTTTCTGTCCTATGTAAGATATTTGTGCCCATATCCAGTTACGTGTCTGCATGTGCATACCTTGCCATAACTTACGTACTTCATGTTTCCATAATTGAGTTTCTTACTATCTTTGCACTAGTTGACCTAAATATTTAAATATGATATTCAAAAGGTCTTCTTACTAAATATGTTGTTGGTGGATTGCGTAACATATGATTGACTGGACATAGCATTAATAAAACGACCTTGCTGTATGGAAACTGTCCATAGGTGTTATATGCTTAAGAAAGAATGGCATTAATATTAGCGCTCATCTTTTTACTTCCCAAAATGTGACCATATATTTCGTATTTCCCAAAATGTAACCCGTCCTTCTCCATTGGTTCCTTCAATTTCCTAGATTCTTCTCCATCAGCTCCCTGGCTTCGATGACTTCTCCATCAGATTCTCACCTCCTGATTTCTCCCTAAGGCTCCGATGACTCGTCTTCCTCTCACGCACATCTACAACAGCGTTCTCCTCTGTGCCGATATCTCCCGATGTGCTCCATCTCTGTCACCGACGCCGACTCCACGCTCATCTCCATTATCGCCGCCGTCGTAGTCTACTTCACCGTGGTTCCATCACCAACATTTTTATTCTCCTACTCTATCTTTTCGATGGCGAACAGGTTCAGATTCTCCCCATCCTTATTCAAATTTTGATTGAAGCAAATCTGAAAGAAGGTTATGAAATAAGGGGAAGAAAATCGTCCCCAACAGCAGTGAATCTGAGCAGCGTCGACCGGAGGTGGAACGATGGCTAGACCTTGGTTGATGGCTGGGATTTTTAGGTAGGGTGGGCGGTGAGGTATGGGCAGACCCTGAACAGATCTGGAGCTCCTGTTCTGTGGAGTTCGTTAGGTTAGGGTGGGGCGGGGGGTAATGGCGGAAGGCAGGGAGTTGGTGTAGGTGGTGGAGATGGTGGGCGGTGTGGCCGTAACTATGGCAATATTCACCGGAAAAATCGCTGGATAATATTTCGGGCGAGCAAAGTGACATGTTTACCCGATAGTGACATTAGTATATGGCAGTGACGCCTCTTAAGTGACACGAAAATTGACAGTGACATCATGTTTTCCAAAAATATGACCTTCTTACTCACTTTTTTGTCCATATAAAAATGGTCATTTTTTTTTTAAAATTGATTAAAATTTAGTAATATTCAAGGTAAAACCCCTATGCTTAAATAAATAATTTCTTATCATCCGTGATTAAATTTTCAAATGGTTATTTTAATTGGGATGATTGTCTCCTTAGTATGGTCTGGTGCACTCTTTCTTAAATTGGACAATAAATTATTTTCTTACCATACTACTTTGACCCGTTGCATTTATGAGATATTCTCTATTGATGTGCTATTCTTCGTATATGAGATTACAATATCTTGAGTCTCTTAATTTGACTGCCATATATTTTATGAGAGATATTACGCAAGGAAAGGAGGCGATGTTTCTGGACAACGATAATCGAACCACGCTCATCGCTTTTCTGTCCAGCAACTTCCAATCGCTCTCCTTCATGTCTTCCGGCTTATCATCCAGAGGTTGATACGGATCTTTACCGTACAGGTAATCTTCGATCTGCAACTTCCAGAATCCGTAATCTGTTCCGTCAAACTGCATCACCGGTGTATTCAAATTGTCTGCCATCGTGAGATCTCCCTTCGAACCTAGGGCTCTGATGCCAATTGTTAGGAATTTAATTTACGCACACGAAAAACAATAACGAAGAACACACGAAATTTGGTAACCCAGTTCGCCACGAATGACTACGTCTAGGGGCGCTACCAAGCCAGAAATATTATTGCTATTTTCGGATCTACACCCAATGATTACAAGGGAGAGAGCTTGTATTTATAGAGAAGTAAATCCTAACCCCAAGGCAACTAGGACGTGTTTCCTAAAATTAATTAAGAAACGTGTTTCCAAAAATAAATTAAGAAACTGTCTCTAACACCTTACAAGGCACAATAAAAAGATGAAGCATAAATTACTTATATTTTGAGAATAAAAAGAATATAGTGTTATTGTTGCATTTAGGAATCATTTTACTCATACCTGGAGCAAATATTCGAATATAAATAATTAAATACAATGTGAGAAAATCCGGCATTATACCAAATGCACAAGATTAATACAAAAAATAGGGATAACGAATAAATTAAAAGAAATTGTCCTAAATAGGATTAAAACATGGTTAAAACTCCAAAATAGGACTTTATGTTTCATATTGCCTAAATAGGACTAAACATTACCATTATACCCTTATATAATTAAATCCGTAATCCTTTAATTTGCTCATCCAAGCCTGTTGGTATTCCTCTGTCATCGATCACAGCTCAAGTCCTATCATCGAAGCTATAGTGCGCACCAGAGCATCCCTTCGCCGCCTCCCTTCGCCGCCTCCCTTCGCCGCCGGTATTGCATCTGTTGTCACCGTCTGACTTCGTGGATTCTGACCGCCAAGTGAATAGTATGTAGTTGGTTCATATCTCTTCTTCCTCTTCCTCTTCCTCTTCTCTTCCTCTTTTCTCTTTTCTTCTTCCTTTTCTCATCTTCTTCCAGATCCTCTGTATTTTAATTTTTTCAATTTTTCTGGTGATCAAATATATGTGGATTTGAATTTTAATTTATTTAGCAATTTTGAACCTCAGAATGCAGATTCCCAGAAAATGCCACTTATTCAATTTGAGGATGTCAAACTTATTTGTAATTTGAAGAAAATGCCACTTTTATAGCAATGTGCTTATAAAGATGACATTTTCAATTGTAAAAAGATGTCATTTTCTATTGTAAAAAGATGACATTTTCACATTGATAGTTGTGGCATTTTCATAGGAAATTATGTAATCATCCTATAAAAAAATGACATTTTTATATGTTAAATATCATAAAACTGATATCATTTGACAAACAAGCCAAAAGTATTGCTATATTTATAAATTTAATGTCATAAAAGCGGCATTCTTTTTAATAACAGGCATTCTCATATTCAAAAAGTGACATTTTCAAATACATATTAGTTATGATATTCTTACATTTGAAATTAATTATTTCTTTCACTGGTTGTTTCATAGAAATTTGATTCTTCATTTGAAATTTCAAAATCCAAAATTTTATTTAGAATTTTGAAAGTAATCAAATTAATAGACAAAACAAAAAACAGAGAACCTGCAGGTATAAGATGGAGCAAGAAGAAGAAAGAAGTGAAGGAGGAGACGAAACTTGCCTATAGCGATGGCTTTGTCGGAGGATGGTGGAAACAACTATGGTTCTTGGAGGATGGCTGCCGCATCGCTCTGGTTCCTGGAGGATGACTACCGCGCATCGCTAAAGTCTGTGATACGGAAACCTGGAGGCTGTTGTGCGTCGCTGGTGTGATCGCTTTTTTAATTAAGGGTAGTTTTGTCAGGTTACATCTTTAGTCCTATTTTTGTTAAATAAAACATAGCAGTCCTATTTTTGCAATTCTACCTTGTTTTAGTCCTATTTAGGTAAATCTCTCATAAATTAAATGAAATAATGAAGGTTATTAAGTTGTGAAATCTTCGTATGACCGTCTCTTCTATTCGAAATTTTATTTAGATTACAAGTATGTTTGACGCAATTAACCGAAAAGATACTTTTAGACTTTTTAGTACTGTTAGGTTTTTGTGACTGAAAACATTTAAAAGTAAAAGGTGGTAATTGTTTGGTAAAAAACTGACTGTTTGGTTTAGTTCTGTTTGGTATACAAACTGTTGAGACTAATTAATGTTAAACGTCACAGACTTTTCTATGATGTTACTCCATGTAGCATTTCAAAAAAGATCTTTTATTTCTTGTATAGCTCTTAAAAATTGTCATACCAAACATAGAATGAGAAGCTCTTAGAGACTTTTTAAACAGTACAAAAATTAGACGGAAGAGACTTATGCAAACCAAACATAGCCTATATGCATAAAGACATTATATAACTCACTAAAATGAAGGGCATTTAATAATTGATTAATTAATAGGGACACTTACTAGAAGAGTCTCTATAACAAGTCATGAGAGGTACTACATATATGTATGCATTATAGACATCATAAACTGCATATGTGCATGAATGGAATTATGAAATAGGTCTAGATTTAGGATATATAATGACCTTATTTGCATAAGTGGGAGTTTGGGGAAGAAAGAGCTTAGCAGCTCCAGAGAACTCCTTTCTTTTCCTCTTCTTCTCAGCTAGCTTAATTAATCTCACTCCGAATAGCATGAATGATCTCTCTTCTTCTTCCTCCTCCTCCTCCTCCTCCTCCTCCTCCTCCTCCTCATATGAGTTAGCGGTGGTGGGCCTCCTCCACCTCCTCCTAATATCACTGGTGGCATACGTGGACATCAAGTCAAGTAGATCTTGACATTTCCTCTTCATCGTCAACAGCTCTGAGCTTAGGATTCCATTTTCACCCCGAAGCCTCTTGTTCTCCTCAATGAGGATGTCGTATTCTGAGGGAAATGACACCCTCATTGATGTGGTGGATGACAGTGACTTTTGCTCTTCATCGTACTTTGGCTGATGATCAACGAAGTTGTTGCTTTTTATATTTGCTGGCTGCTTATTGTTCGCCGCCAATGTGGGTTTTCTTCGAGGAATGTCGCACAATAAATCCTTCTCTCCTTTCTGGAACTTGCTGTTGCAAAACTCCCACCGGGCAGAGGCCACCTTGCGAAAACCCTAATAAAAAAACTTATGGTTTTATGAATTTTTTTTTTCAAGTGATGATATATAGTGGATAAGTCAATACTACGAACTAGTATGATATTGCTACAATTTTGTTGAATGAATCATATTGCGCTGCCATGGTTTGATCCTAAAAATGCATGTTGAAGTCTCACCGGTAAAATATGAAATATAAGTAAGGACATGTTTACTTCACGAGTTACTAAACAGTGCTTATTAAGACCCTCATGAATAAGCGGCGCATAAAATAAGCAATGTTGTAAGCTCATGTTTACTTCAAAGCATTTAAAACACCGTTTAACAGTAAATTGTCCAAAATAACCCCATACATATATAGATACACAAACATTCATTAACACAAATATATAATATGTGGGGGTCACCTCGTACGCATTACCCATACCCCTAACCCCTACCTGCCCTATACCTTGTACCCCTACTCTACACTGGTGGTAAGGGCTATGGGTAAGGTAGGGTGTGGGGGGGGTTGAGGTAGGGGCAAGTGGTAGGGGTAAAGGGGTAGGGTCGGGGTAGGTGAAGGGGTACATGTTGGGGATCGAGGTCAGGGCGGGGTCAAGGTAGGAAAAGGCGGTAAGGGGTGAAAGGGGTAGGGGTCAGGGTAGGGTAATGGGGTACATGTGGTGGGTGGGGTCGAGGTAGGGGAAGGTAGTAGGGAGTAAATGGGTAGGGATCGGGTAGGGTAAGGGGCGTGGTGGTGGTTGGGGGTGGGGTAGGTCAGGGTTCGGGTGAGAGCGAGGTACAGGTAGGTGGTATGGGGTAAAAGGGGTAGGGGTAAAGAGTACGGGGTCGGGTGGAGGGGTAAAGTGGTAAGGGCTGGGGGTAGGGGTGGGGTGGTGTCGAGGTAGGGGAAGGTGGTAGGGGCACGTGGGGGTAAGGGTATTGGTCGGGGGAGGGTAGGGTGGGTCGGGGTCAGGCTGGGGTCGAAGTAGGGGAAGGTGGTAGGGGTTAAAGGGGTAGGGTAAGGGGCGTGGTGGGTGGGGTAGGGGGTATGGTCGGGGGTGGGATGGGTGGGTCGAGGGAGGGGAAGGTGGATGGGGGTAAATGCGTAGGGGTCGGGGTAGGGTAAGGGGTACACGTTTTGGGTTGGGGTGGGGTGGGTGTAGGAGGGTGGGGCCGGGTAAGGGTGAGGTCGATGTAGGGGTAAAGGGGTATGTACGAGTTGGGGTGGGGGTAGGTAGGGAATGGGCTAGGGGTGGGGTCGGGGTAAGGTGGGTATGGTAAGGGTAGCGAGTAGAGGGGTAACAATAGGGTAAGGGGAAGGGTTAAGGTAAGTTCGGAAACTTAAAAAGCTTAAAGTGTTGCTTAATTAATATATGTGAGATCATATGCTTAGTACGCAACACTTTAAACACCTTTTTCTATTAGTTAGCAGTTTTTTAAGCAGATTGCGTGTTTACTTCACCTGTCTTACTAACCTAACTGTAACTTTAGCAGCGAAGTGTTGACAAATGACAATCCAAATGTACTTAATTAGGGTTCCACTTTGTCAAATCATTAGTTTCTTTCTTGGCGTATGAAGACACTATTTTTCCTAACAATCGGGCATATATATTATTCTCAAATAAATCAATATTGTTTTCTTCTTGGCAAAATATGAGTTATTCATTGCTAAAATATGACATTTTATCAACTTTTATTCTTTCATTAAGAATAAATAAATCTTATTTTTACGATAAAACCACAATGATTTTAAAAAGAAGAAGATAAAACCGCAATAATGCTCCAATTTATTATGAACTTTACTGTGTAGACTTGTAGTACTACCTGTCTCTTAAAACTTTGCCAAAGTTGAACGTCACAGGGAATAATAAAGTAAAAACTGTGTGATTGAGGTTTGTGCAGAAAAGAGACAAATAACAGAAACCACAAAAAATTGATTAAAAGGGAAAGTGACAATGTTTTTTGGGACGTCCCAAAAAGGAAAGATGACAAAGTTTTTTGAGACGGTGAGAGTATTCTGTAATATTTTACATCTTTTTCGGGCAATCAGTTATATGTAGGAGTTTAATATACTTCGAGAGTAATTAGGTATGCTCTCGATCAAGGAGATCGGTATGCACTTTATCAATACACAAGAACGGTATGCACTTTATCCCTTCAAGACACAAGAAGATAAGACATGTGATCGAAATGTATTTCAAATAATTTAGATCCTCATTGAGCACAACTTATCAATACCTAAAAAAAGTTAACATCCAAAAAGATTTTATAAATGTACCCTAAAGCTACCATTTTTCTTGTAATCATATGTATCCCAACCACTTACGATAAAATATAATTATAAGCAACTTTTTTCTATCTGATCTGTTAGATGACACTCTACACCTTAAAATGGTACCAGATTCATGCCTTGTGGTTTGATTCTTTTGTAAATTATTATTAGTTGTGAATGACAAATCCTTTTTTAAATGTTTAAACAAAGCATCAATTAATGTCAGGGGCGGATCCAGGAATTTGGGATGCCCTGGGCTGAATAACAATTATACTAGGCTTAAATACTAGCGGGGTGGGCTAAATGTGAAAAATGAAAAAAATTATATTAAAAAAATGGCAAATTTTTTAAGTTGCTTTGAGCTTCAGCCCACCATAGCGCGTATATAGATCCTCCCCTGATTAATGTTTAAATGATTAATCATTTGAATTGATAAATAGATTAATTTCTTACTAGGTTTAACCGCACACTAAGACTAAATGCAATGCACCTTAAAAATATGAGAAAAATAAGTAGAATGTGGTGAGGTGGAAATGAAGACCCGCCGGCCGGGTACATGAAAATGAAAAGTAGGTGCACAGACTAAATGAAAATGAAAATTGAGACATAAGTTGATACTCGGACTTCCATCCTGAAAAGTTAACCGATAAAAGTAGCTAGTAGTGTAGTACCTCTCAAAGTCTCATATAGTATTTAGGGAAAAGTACAGAAAACGTACTTGTGGTTTAAACCGTTTTCAAATAGGAGCAAGTGTTTCATTTTTTAACAAAGTGAGACATGTGTTGCAATTTCGTTATCACATGAGCTGGGGCATGACGTCTAACGAGTTCTCTTTAGATTTTTCGGCTCGTCAAGGAGATCAACAAACTATCGTTCTCTTTAGATTTTTTGGCTCTATTTGGATTATTTTTTAAAAACGAGTTCGCTAATATCACTTTTCTTGTGAACTTTTTGGTGACAGGGTTGCTAGAAACCAAAAAAGCAAGATGGTCTGGAGGTCTTCTTGACGAGGCGCACCTCCTAGTATTTTTTTTAAAATTTTTTGGAGACTTTTGAAAATCAGAATTAATTTTGCTAACGGTGTTAGATGGCATGCCCCAGTTGTTATCAGTGCCAGCTTTGGGGGAGTTGGCCCAGGCGGCTGCCTAGGGCCTCACATAAGCTAAGGAAGGGGCCTCAAAAATATTACTCTGTATAGGGAAAATGGAAACTAATAATCCAACCTTTTAGCGGTTTTCTTTCAATAATCCCACATTTTGATTATTCATGAATAATCCAACCTTTGCACCTCATCTTCATTCATTGGTCCCTGGTCGGTTAATGACCTACTATTCCAAGTTAATTTCTTATCTTAGTAGTATGTAGTGCTCCGTATGTATAATTCACTTATCCAGCGTCCATCAATGAACATGATTGGGGATGATTGTTGCAAATTCGTATTCTACAATTCTCAATTCCCAACTGCCAAGTCCTCAATCCTCATTCGATCGCAGACAGACTATCGACCTTCTCACCTTCATGTCCTTCGTCAATTGAATGACCTCCCGCCTGCCGCTGGCCTGAGCGAGTGAGCGAGCGACTCTAGTTATCGACTTGTCTCTTCTTCATATTACTCACTCTTTCTTTGACGCGTTTGATTCAATTGAAAGACTCTTTAGATTTTAGTCAATACCATAGTTAAATGATTGAAATAGAGTAAACGGTGGAAGCCTAAAGTAGCATGGGTGAGCTTGCGATTCTATGATGGAATACAAAATTCCGGTCAAGCATTTGACTTTTTAGATTTGACTATTTGAGGTAAATTCCTAAATGGCTTAATATGATTGAAGTGAAGGAGTTTGTGTAAAGTTAAAAATTCTTTTATTAATTAATGAATACAATTTTAAATTTATTGAGTTAATATAATACAGCTATTAATAATATTGGATATTTGTCATATAGGTATTGCCGTATTGTATGAATGAGTAGATAAATACATGAAATAATAATCGCTTGTGCTGATAAATTTACTTAATTACTCCGTATTATGTTTGATGGTATTGGTTGTTTGGTTTGTTATTGTTAGAAATAATTGTATTGGTAAGTTTTAGCTTTTTATAATGTTGTTTTCTCCGATTTTGCACTCCAAAAGCCAAGAAGAATAGCTCAATAGAGTGTTTCAAAGTATAAGTTTGCAATGTTTTTACATATGTTGGCCTTCAGAAACTTAAAATTTTGACATTCACGTTATATGGTGCACTTTGAATATGCTTTTTTCATATTGTTTTTTGTTCATTTTTTTATATTTTTTTTTTATTATGAAATGTGTTGTGTGAATGGTAATTTGTTTTGCTTGGAGCCTCCTAGATGCTAAGGCCGCCCCTGGTTGTTATAATGTAATTGAAACACATGTGACACTTTATTAAAAAAAAGAAACAATGTACACTTTTTCGAGTTTTTCCTAGTATTTAAGAGTACGTACATAGGTATTGAGCTGGCGGACAAAGCTGGAAAAGTTGCTGTGCTTAAAGACGGTTGGGAGCAAGTCCCTGGCGAACTCCGCCGGCTGCCACACCACAAACGACGTCCCGTCGGCGTTCCAAGAAATGACGTCGTCGGTGGCCGGATCCTCCACCAGCATGTACGTCTTCAACAAGAATGGTGACGGCGACCATTTCTTCACGTATTCTAACAAACCCTTCCCATTCCCATCACCACTACTGCATTCTGAAGCCGCCAGCCCAAGCAACATATTTCCTGAAGATCTTAGCTCTCTAGCTAGCTAGCTGATTAAATTACTAGCTAGCTAATATGTACGTACTTTTGTTTAACAAATCTAAGGGTTATATATGTTGTGATTTCATTAATGAGAATGTATAAAATATACGGAGTATATTTATGTGCTCATGAGGTAATTAAATTGATCTAGAAGAAGAAAAAACAATGGGAGAAGAAGCTAGGTATGGCCTGGAAGGATTGAGAATCAGAGAATGGAAGGGCGGTTAAGAACGTACTCCCAACCCCAACGTACAATAGAAACCCAATACGACTCTGCAGTTCATGCATGACAAATGCAAGCGCTCCGGCCACGAGATTCTCTCTCTCAAACTATATAACCAATATTTACAAACGTCTCTCTCATGCTTTCCTCTCTTATATATATACGCACATGCATGCGTATAGGATTTTTCATTATTGGGGGCACTAGCTACTAGAGTTGGGGAAAAATAACGATCCCGTTGTCCCATTCCAAAATATCCTAAAATTGTATGGAGCAAGGTTTTAAACAGCCGTAGTGGCAGCGGTAGCGGTCATCGCGGTAGCGGCATGTAACTGACTGTAGCGGTTGCAGCGGCGTGAAATATTTTCAATTGCGCAAAACATAAATGTAATTTTTTCACATCATTCACACAACATTTAATTTTGAGTTTCACTCCATGCATCACCATTATGTATTTTTTTTCACATCATTCACACAACATTTACACATCAAACAGTTCGTGATGTACTACCGGAAATGTCAATAGCGGGCTGTAGCGGGCTGTAGCGGGCGCCGGGCGGCGTAGCGGATTTTTCCCGTGATTTGGAAATCACACACGAATAGCGGGCCGTAGCGGTAGCGGCCCCTACCGCGACCGCTATATAGCGGCCGCTATAGCGGTAGTGGGCCGTTATTTCAAACCATGGTATGGAGTACTAATTTCATTTGTACAATTAAAACGTTGTCCCATCCTGTCTCATCCCATTGCCCCGTTTGTATGATTATCGAATCAGGACCGGGATAACCATAATCCGAACCGTTCCAAACCTGTGTCCACCCCTACTTGCTACCCAATATGATTAAATAGTAAAGTATAAGGAAATGTAAAATATGATTAAATAAAAATATATTTAATTTTTTATATATTGTAAACACCAATTTAGTTCAAATAATGCTATAATGTTATATAATCTGATAAAACACTTCCTATATTCCTAAGTTCCTAACTAGTCTTCGCAGTTTCCGCTTTCATCAAATCTAAATTTATCTTCCATAATATTCAAAAAAATCAATATTAAAAATGCTATTTGTATGGGTACTTTTATCTCTTACAACTCATTAGTATCATCTACTAACTTTTAATGATTTTTTTTTCAAATATGACTATTGTTATTTATCCCTTATAAAATCATTCACTCTAATTAGAAGATAAATTCATAGTTTTTTTGTCTTTTACTCCTTTTATGAGGCATTATTTTTTAATCTCCGTGCACAATTAAAGTGAAAATTTGTTTAGGAAGAGAGGGAGCCTTATAACTTGATTTCTTGACGAATTCATTTTTTTAAAGTAAGTGTGGACTTCATTCGTAATGTATTAAGTACATCTACTTTTACATAGCTACAGACTTATTAGGCAGTTAAGAAAGCTTTTAGGATTATTCTATAAACAATTAAAGTATATATCACGTAGAGAACACAATTGTGATCTAATCTTTTCTTATTTTACTTTTAGTTATTTAGTTTCTTAAGAATAAAATGAATAAAAATGACGGGCACTAATTTGTAAAAGTTGTGCAATATATTTGTATAAAAAATTATTGAGGGCACTTCTTAATTTTTATTGGGGGCACAACCTTTAAATACAAAATATTAATTGCACTTTCTTAAAATATAGTGACAAGCCATTGGGGGCATGTGCCCCCAATACAATGAGCATACATCCGCCCTTGTGCATATATTACATTCATTCTTAAATAAATGTAACAGTCTACGTTTCGAGTTTTGTTGATGATAAACAATTAGTGCTACATTTTATGAGTGGTTGCAAAAAATTTTTTATCTTGTGCTCTGTAAAAAGCTTGCTTGATCTAGACCCGGTCCTAGAACTTAACTAAATTGCTCATTCAAGATTGATTACTTCGGCTTACTTAAAAATATCTTTCCTTTTCCACTGAAATATGTTTTTCACTTACGGTATGTTTGGCACAACTAGCTGAAAATATACTTTTGTGAGCTTTTTAATAACTGTTAGCTTTTAGTGACTGAAAAAAACTTAAAAAGAAAATGCGGTAGCTGTTTGGTAAAAAGTGGACTGTACGTTTGATTTAATTCAGTTTGGTATACAAGCTGTTAGGATTAATTAGTACTAAAAGTCACGAGCTTTTCTCAGATACTACTCCATGTAGCATCTAAAAAAAGATATTTTAATTTTTGAAAAGCTCTTAAAAATTGTCATGTCAAATATACAACTAGAAGCTTTTAGAGACTTTTTAAACAATACAAAAGCTAGAAGACATAGTGGGATGGAGGTAGTACTTTTTATCTGGTAGACGTTGTGCTGTCGTTGTGCTGGTGGCCGGAGCGTGGCTTTTAGTTTGTCCTTTGTAGGCCGGTGTGAGTTCTGTGGTGAGGCCGAAGCATGGGTGTTGCCTTTTTTCAATTGATTTGTCTACTGTTCAGAGGTTTTCTCAATTTTTGGAGGCCGATATAGTCCTCCAGTCCTCTACTCGTTCAGGCCGAGGTGTATGATGGGTGTAATGGAGTAAAGAAGTGTCCTAGGCTGAAGCGGAACCCTCAGATTTCTCATGAATCCAACCTCCTAACAATCCTTGACCAAGGTAACCCTGTGGGAAAACCCTTGGACGAAGGTCGCAGGCTAGAGGCTATCATCGATGGGCTCTGTACGAGGGGTCGCAGGCTTAGGATTTTGCCTTACCTTGGTCTCTGGACGAAGTGACGCCAAGAGTTTGGCCGTTGGAACCTGTGTTTGTAATTGCTACATTGTTTGACGTATTTCCAAGAATATTTATAGGATACACAAAACCATTTTCCATATTTAATTTTCGTTTTGATTTTCAGACAATCCCTTCAGTCGCTCGTAAATACTTCTACTGTTTGAGGGTCCCATTTAAATAATTTGACGATCTTTCTTCTCAATAATACTGAAGTCCTTCCATTTTTTGTAAAAGACATATACTTGTTCGCAATATGTAACCAATATTTACCTAGCCTTTATTTTCACTCTTACCTTCTTCAAAATTACTGTGGGTCCCATCAAAATTGCACTTTTACAATCTTTTTGAAGATTTAAATAACAAAAATTACAAAGTACAGTAACCAAGCTAATACAAGTGCATCATCAAAATCTAGAGGGACCTAATAAATTAATGTACAAGGAGAAAATAATTTGGATCTTATAACTCAAAAGGTGTTTCCTACAAGAAACAAGATCTTCAAAGGAAAGAGAGTTGATTAAAAATAGTTTTCCATTTTATAAGTAAAAACCCTTTTAATTTTGTTGATTTGAATGCTCAAAAGTATGCATCAAATTATTACTAGTGAGGAAAATATTTTAATTAAATGAGCAATTATTTTCCAGTTCCAAGACAAGGTCTAAACCTTGTAGCCTATACGAGAACACGAGTTCTATAAATATTTTTCTGCATCCTTTTATAAAACATATGTAGCATTGTTTTTTCCATCAATATAACAATGTGTTCCAATAAGATCTCTAAGTGAAAAGTATCTCATCACTAAGCCAATTCATCATGATTGTATTGTACTAAGCATATCAATATTGATTATTACTTCGTCCATGAGAGTGCTACTCACGTCGCTCTTATTGTTTTATATGAAATTATGAACCCACTAGATTGTAAATAACTTATATTTTTACAAAAGTTGTTTGATATAAACAATATGTTTTATTTCATAAGCCCAATATGTAAATTGTAGCCTCGATATATTGAGATGTGTATTAGTGTGTACATGGGCCTGTAAAGGTGTATGTAAGCTCAAATCTTGTGATTGCTCTAATTGCGTAGTCTCACCTTTAAATATACAGAGTATATCTTCAAGGCACCTACCCAGAGTAGACATATTACTATATTCTCACAACAACATGACAACGTTCACTTTTATTTGTCACGGATAAATTTTGTGACAACATATTTGACAACTTTTGATCTAGGAAACTACATTTGTGATGAATTATTTTGTATCAAAACTTTGTCAAAGATATAATCCTAATAAAGTACACTATATCAATTTTCATTTACTTTTCCATGGCATATACATTCGTAACAAACTTGTGACCAATGATATGTGACAAACTCGTCACAAATGATATCAATGAGAAACCTTGAGTTTTTTGTAGTGATCATTGTAATTCTAACTTAATGTCCGCCCACCTTCAAATTGCTAAAAATTGGAATTTGGCAAGCTAGTATATAATTTATGGGCTCTGAATCAAATGATTGACTTCAAATTTTCATTTTGTAGCCCATTTCTTTTGTCTCATATAAGCATACGGTTGGATAGCAATTCAACTATTCATGTTGTACACACTTCTCTGTTAACACACTTGTACACACTGCCTGTGAAGGCTTTTTGTTTGTCACAAACAAAACGTGTTTTGTCTGTGACAAACAAAAAATCCTTCACAGGCAATATGTACAAATGTGTAAACAGTAAAAGTTTGTACCAAAGGCTTTTTGGTCTGATAGATCAATTGTACAAGACACAGTTTTACACTGTGGACGAGTTGTGTATAAAATTTATTATATCTATCTGGGACTAGATAATATTTTAGGTCAAAAAATTAAATTATTTCAGACTCAGGATATTCCCTTGAATTAAAATAGAAGGAATTGGAAGGTTGATCAAGCAAAGGGAGCAAGGGGCCCAAATCCCATTTAATAGACCTATTAAAGGCTGGAAAGCCTAAAAAGAAACATATGACCTACACAATTGCAGTGCAGCATACACAGTAACCTAAAGATAGAGAACTTTGTGCGCAAACTTCATCTTCATCATTTTCAACATGTTTGAAGCCAGAAGAGAAGGGGGTATAGAGCTTTAGCATCGAGGAGGATTATCACAGCTAGAGCAGCTACTATTCACGCCATTTTGGAGGAGAGATGATGGCTTTGTGCCCTTTAACTTTCGGGTCGTGTATCGATTACCTCTAATGCATGAATGAATGATTTTAAAGCGTTAAAATTTTCGCTATGTACTTACTAATGAGTCTAAAATGTATTGGTATAATATGGTCGAAGTTCTGGTTGTTTGCTAAGGTATAGTAGGAGAGGTCTCGAGTTCGAAACCCGCTAGGCACATAA